ATACAGATGGCCAATAGGCACATGAAAAGATGTTCAACATCATTAATCATCAGGGAAATGCAAATCAAAACAACACTAAGATATCACCTCACGCCCGTTAGAATGGCTATAATCACCAAGACAAAAAACAACAAATGTTGGAGAGGATGTGGAGAAACAGGAACCCTCATACACAGCGGGTGGGAATGCAAACTGGTGCAGCCTCTATGGAAAACGGTATGGAGATTCCTCAAAGAATTAAAAATAGAGATGCCCTATGATCCGGCCATCCCATTACTGGGAATCTATCCAACGAACCTGAAATCAACAATCCAAAGAGGCTTATGCACCCCTATGTTCATTGCAGCATTATTCACCGTAGCCAAGAAGTGGAAGCAACCTAAGTGTCCCTCGACTGACGATTGGATCAAGAAAATGTGGTATATATATAATGGAATACTACTCAGCCATAAAAAAGACAAAATTGTCCCATTTGCAACGACGTGGATGGGCCTGGAGGGTATTATGTTAAGTGAAGTAAGCCAGAAGGAGCAAGACAAACACTGTATGATCTCACTCATATGTGGAATATAAACCAACACATGGACAGAGAAAACTGTATTGTGGTTACCAGGGGCTATGGGAGTGGGGGTGGGGGGTGGGCACAAGGGGTGAAGGGAGACATATATATGGTGATGGACAAACAAAAATGTACAACCCAAAATTTCACAATGTTAAAAACTATTAAAACATCAATAAAAAAAAATACCTACTGAATGAGAAAAAGTTCTATTGTAAAGTTCTTTTTCCAGTGACTGTAAAGTAATATCATGATAAAGGCTAGTTCTGACATTTAGTTTTATTATATATTAAACTCATTTCATCCTCTCAAGATAAATCTATTCACTTATTCAACAAATATTTAGACAAAAATTCCTGCCCTCATGGAGCTTACAGCCTAGTGGCGGGAACAGATAATAACAAATAAATATGTTAATAATATATGTCAGCTGTTGAGAGATGTAACAGAGAAAAATAAAGTAGGGAAGAGGAAGAATATATAGGGCTAAGCAGGGGAATATACAATGTTAAATGGAGCAATCTTTGAAAGCCTCACTGAGATTGTGACATTTGAGCTACGAATTAATGGAGGTTAAGTAGTCACATGGTTACCTGGAGAAGAACCCTCCAGATTGAGAACCAGTGCAAGGTCTGGGGTAGGCAGCCTGGCTTTCCTGTCTATATCAGTGAAAAGCACAGAGGCAGGGATGGGATGATCAAGGGAGAAGGGTAGGAGGAAATTGGAAGGTAGCTGGGAGCCAGATCTGATAGGGTCATGTTTGTCAATATAAAGACTGAGCAAGATAGGAAGCCTCTGGAGAGTTTTGAGCACAGGAGTGACTTGATCCAACTTGTGTTACCGAAGGACTCTGGCTGCTTGGTTGAGTTGAAGACTGTTGAAGTGGTGACAGTAGACTGAACCAAGATGGGGTGGTAGCAGTGGTAGAGAGTGACTGGGTTCTGAATGTATTTTGAAGGTAGAGCTGACGGTATTTGCCGATAGATCACATGTAGGAGAAGAAGAGAGGAGTCCAGTATAATTCTACAGTTAGGACGGATGTTTGTGTCTCCTGGGCTTTGAATTTTCTAAGGCAATATCTCCTACTATAAGGAATGAATAAGTTGCTGAGAAAAAGAAAGATTCAGCTAAGAATCTGGGACATCTTTTTCTGAACCATCTTATTCTCCATTTCAGTTAAATGCCTGTTTTTTTTTTCCATGTCCTCAGACGCTCATGTTTGGAAATTGGCCCATGCTTCGAGCGGAACCACAGATTCCTAGGCTGAAGCAACTGATCCTTATTTATCCAAGATTTTTTTAGTCCTGGGGAATTATTATTAAATCTTTGTTCCTGCTGAAGTCTATTGGTGTGCAGTCTTCTCTGCGATCTTGCCCTTCTCTGTCTCTAGGTGTCATCTGTTGCCATGATGTCTCTCTGCTACCCTTCAGCCACACCAGACATCTCAGTTCTTCCATCAGAACAAACTATATCCTGCCTTTTTCATGTATTTGTTTTCTTTCTCATCCCTCCCATATGCCCCCACCAAAACACACTAATTGGAAGCTCCAGAAAGACAAGGACTATGTTAATCTTCTTTATCACCGTATTCCCAGCATTTATCACAATGCCAGGTTTAACACAGGTGCTTGATATATATTTACTGAGTGAATGAATTTATTCTTTAGTTCTTGATATCTCTTGATTCTGATTAATTTCCTTAAACTTTGGGCACTTTGCATTGCCCCTCATCTCCCAGCCATTCCAGGTTCTTGATTATTTTCTTGGATCTCCTGGTTTTCTCTGAGAACCAATATTTCTGAGTTGTCCCAGTTCACACTTGCCTACCAAGCTTCTGCCCTCCTGCTTGCTTAGATCCTTGTTCTTTAGGTATACCCTGATTCGGACTTGTTTACCTGTTCCTGACCTGTTGCCTTCTCAGATGCCTGCCTGATCCTTAACCACATTGGCTTTTTTCCTTGGCTCAATTTCTCTCCTGTCTCTTCTAACTTTCCTGAAGAATGGTAGAGAAGTAACTCCACATGCCCCAGAAACTCGTGTCTAATCTCTCTGGCCCTTAGACTGCCTTCCTGGGATATGAGTGATGAGAGCAGGGATTTGCACACCTGTGGAGGACACAGTAGGTCAGCTTTCACTTCCACTGCATCCTCCAAGGTAATGGGGAAGGGCTGGCAAGGCCATCGTTTCTCTGGTCATCTTTCAGACTGAGACCTAGCAAGTCATTCTAGACGCAATGGAAAATAACTTAATGTCTTTTTGTTCCCAAGAAAGCCATCTTTATATAATACCTCTTTTTCAATTTGGATTTTCATGGCTCATTCTCAGTTCTTTACATTAGATTTAATCATTTACATGTAACTGATTCCTCCGTTAATCTATAGAGTTTAACATAAGTTCACAGGAATTCAATTGTAATTCCCTTAATGACTTTTTTGCCAGTAATATTACTCAAACACTCTTATTTATTATACCAATAAACTCAGCAATAAATAATATTATCGTATTTTCTTTCCTCATTTTTCAATCTTAACATACAGGAAGCCTTGGCTCAAGCTTTTTGGATTGACATCAAGCGCATGGATGACCCACAGTGTTACTTTAATTCTTTGCCAAAAGAGTTAGAAGTAAAAAGAGATCGGATGGTGCATTTACTCGAAAGTGTTGGCCTAAAACCCATCGTTCCTGATGGGGGCTACTTCATCATTGCTGATGTGTCTTTGCTAGGTTTGTAAAGGTTTTTATTATTTTAAATATATGCAAAATTATGTGTGAAATTATATCAGAATTATGGAGAAAAGATTAGTGTCAAAGCCATATAGGCATTTTATCTGTGGAAAAATGGATTTTCACAATGTCAGTGTTTTTCTACAGTCAGCTTGATGTCTACACCCTTGACCTTAAATGTGACTATTGTTACATGGTTATGGAGTCCGTTGTTCTAGGTATTCTATTAAACATAGAATTTGCTGTCATCTTGTTCTGCTATGTAATTTAAAACACAGGTACATGAAATAGTATATGTACTCTGTGTTCTTTTGAGTAAAATTTTAGTTTCCTTTTTACTTGAGAAAAATAAGATTTCTAGAATGTTGATGCCATTGGGGACTATTTTCCATTTTAGAAAATACTGAAATGAAGTAAAGAAGGAAAATATTTATTGAGGGTTTACTACATGCCTAGAACTTTCAAATACCCTTTTGATGAAAGCATTGTTAGCTCCATTTTTAAGGATATGAAGCCTTAGAAAGTTTTTAATAACTTGCCTGAAGTCACACAGCTAGGTTCCAAATAGTTGTCTCCAAAAAACAATGGTCATATTGCCTGAAACTGTGATATGTAATTCTGACATGCCCTACAAATCTAAAGTTAGAAGCCTGATAATGTTTTCTATATAACTTATTTTTCTTCAAAAAAACAATAATGTTGATAATAGTAAATTTAAAAGCAGAATGTATTCTGGCAGATATTGCAGCCATTCTGAATAGTTTTAAATGTTTTAAGGTTTTATTACAATGAAATTATGTGCCACTGAACTTGAAAAGCCTTTTATATATACCAAATTTTATCAAGCTGGAAACATTGGATTTTATAACCAAACAGTGATGGTTATTTCTTCATGTGCTGTGAGAGCAGCAGAGGCCGTGGTGACCAGAGGTTCTTGCTGTCCTGTTGCCAGAGAGCTGTATTTGTCCAGCCCCCAAGCTCCATTCCTATATAAACCCACTTAAGATGTTCTGTACTCGGATGTTTGGAAATGACTTGTCCTATATTGGGTCTAAATGTACAGCTTATTTCATGCAATGATAAAAAGAAATAGCACAGCTTTCATCACTTACCTTTTTACTTTTGAATTGGAAAGCCACAAGATTTTCAACATGAATTATTTTGTTTAGAAGAATTTTATTTATACTTCATCTGCTTCCAAAAAGAATTTGAGCTAACTCATATTAAAAATTTTTCTATGCGTGGCCGGCTGGGTGGCGCAAGCGGTTAAGTGCGCACACTCCGCTGCGGCGGCCCAGGGTTCGCAGGCCCAGATCCCGGGCGTGCACCGACACACCGCTTGTTTAAGCCATGCTGTGGCAGCGTCCCATATAAAGTAAAGGAAGATGGCCATGGATGTTAGCTCAGGGCCAATCTTCCTCAAGAAAAAAAAAAAGGCGGGGGAGGATTGGCATCAGATATTAGCTCAGGGCTAGTCCTCCTCACAAAAAAAAAAAAATTTCTATGCAATAAATATGTAACTATAAATGTTTATATATATAATATAAAATCAATGTCACATTGGAGGGGGAGGAAGCAAATATTTCAGTCACCTGGGTTCATAGAATATTGTAATTAGCATTAACTTGAGACCAAACTTCGTGGCAGCAGAGGCAAATAGAAAAATGGAATTAGTTACATAATTCTTAGATAAAAGGAGTAAAGGAAACCTACTAGCTTTTTAGATAAGAATAATCCTTTCCTGGAATCAAATTTTCCAGATAGTAAATTCTAAAAGGAATTTATCACATGGTGACATTAAACATCAAAAAGACAATGATGCAACTTTTGCTTGGATTTTTGCATTAAGCTCTTAAATACTTTCCCATTCTATCTTCAGTTGATCCATCCTGCTTGCAATACTAGTTTAGGTCTTAGATCTTGAACTAGTGTGTTTGTAATAGGAGCACAAAGGGTTTTGGTTAGAAAATCTTTTGCGATGATGGAAAAAAAGATGTCCCTTCTTTATAGACCTCCTTTACCTGTGGGGAAAAGTGTTAATGTCTATAGGACCCTCCTACATATGAAGACAAGCTCATTTTATTTTACTCTTTCATCTGCTCAGATTGATTTGAATGTGGAAATTCTTTCATATAGTAGAGGTTGGTCCCACCATTTGCTAAAGAAAAAAGCAAAAACCAAAATTTTCTTTTGGTGGTAGCTTGAAAATAAAAATAAGCCATAAAATTCATGACCATAGTGATTACTTCCCTTTAAAATCCACAGCAATGACTAACTGGTTAATATTTTTTGAGCATTTATGATATAGTAGGTATTATGCTAAGAGCTTTACAAATATCGTATTCTCACAAAAGCCCTATGAGATTGGTGCTATTATATCCCTAATGATAGATGGGAAAGATGAGATAGAGAGAGAATCAGGAAATTTACTGAAGTTAATCAACTAATAAGTAGTGGAGCTGGGCCCTGAATCCAGAGATTTGTTCCTAACTGGTGAACTTATCTTTTTTCTGCTATACTAAGCAATTTTCCAGACCCATGAGCTTCGTCCTAGAACTAAAAAGGAGAACATCTGAATAGAAGACAAGATAACAAATAAGGAGATTATTACAGTTTTTCTAGTGAGATAATAAGGTCCAAAATTGTGGAGGAGATAGTGGGGATGCAACAACCAATTTTGATTTTCATGGGTTACTTAAATACGCTAATGCTAGTGTAATATGGTTCAAACTCCTACTTTCAATAAAGGAATATTTTGTTTAGTTCCTTTGAGGATCTCTGACTCAAGCATTCAAAAGAACTAGTTTCAAACTTTCTTCTAACTATAAAATCTTTATAATTGTGTTTATTCACTTCTTTCCTTTTGAGCACTATGGCAATAAATTCCTATTTTCTAAGCTTTAAAAGAATAAATGAGTAGTACAGCCAGTGTCAGTTACAGTTAGTTAATACCCTCCTGTTCTTCCTTCTGCTGCTATAGGTAAGCACTCCTTTCTCTGGGTTACCTTTGAATATACTGCTGTTGTGTACTTGTCACATGGAGTTTTCACATAATTTACAACTAGACTCTAACTTTTTTAAGTTGTCATTTTTGTTAGAGCCAAACCTGAATTAAACACACCTGCATACATATAACTTAGATAGTAATTTAACTTCTTCATCTATAAAGTGAAGATTGTAGCTACCTCTTTGTAGCTACCAGAATTGTAGGACAAGTAAATGAGAGAATCATGTAACATGCTTAACAAATAGTAAGTGCTCAATAAAGGTAGGATATTATTAGCATTATTATATGGAAATATTACATTCTTAAAGCACAGGAGATAATGTAAATAAAATCATTAAGTAAAAACATTTTAAGACTTAAAAAAAATACTCGTGAAATTTTTTTCAATATCAAAGTTTTTACACCGTTAATGTGAAGTCACCCAGTAGTATTTAGTGAATAAAGGAAAAAAGATAACTGCCTCAATTTGTTTTGAGCAATAAATTGTAAATTTCATTGATTACAGTAACCATGAATGTCACTTGCTTTGGGGCATTCAAAAAGATCTGAGTACAGGTCAATAAAATTGAAACAATATGAAAATATGAAATGTAGATTGTTGAAACAGAATGCCAGAGAAATATTTTGCCCAAACCTTGAAGCAAGATTGGAGCAAGAGATAAGAATAAAAATACATATTTGAAGTTTTTTCCCAAATTAAAAAAAATTTTTTAAAAGCATAATATATGGAAGAAAGATGTCAACAATAATATATCATTTGGAAGATCTACACAGACATTCTCCTTTTATAAATAATGAATATTATTAATTTCTTCAACAAATATGCTTTTCATTACTTATATGCTAAACACTGACATAGGAGTTGGGGGTAATGATAGGTTGCAATACAGACAATTTACACTTGTGGAGCTTACAATCTAATAATGAATGACTATTTGGAGATACAACTATTACTGATAAATATTTTATAAACTTAGGTGTTATTTCCTTAATAATGATCACAGAGTCTTATATTTTTTCTAGACGGAAAGGCAACACTCCTCTCTCCTTCCCCTTTCCAACTCCCTTCCAGAGCTAGGAGCTGCATGCACAAGCATGATCAAGCAGATGAGTATGTGAGTACTGCCTCATCAGTAAAGCTCATCTGTGACTTCCTCACTTCCCAATGCGCCATGAGTATGAGACTCCAGCAGATTCTGTGAATATCTTCCGAGAAAATTTTGAATCTTGACGGACTAAGATGAAATACATGTTGCCTCAGATATAATACATAGGCCATCTAATTTTCATTTTTGTTTTAGATGCAGACCTCTCTGATATGAAGAACAACGATGAACCTTTTGACTATAAATTTGTGAAATGGATGACTAAAAATAAGGTAATGTTTATTGCCCTTTGCAATATTGTGCTGTATTTTATAGTTAATTTATGAAGGAAACCTGTTGACATGCTTTGAAAAATGTTAACTGTCGTTTTGTTACATGATATTCCACTCGTGATTATTTGGAAGATTTTAAAAACATTTTTCTTTTTGGAAATTGTATTGAATATTTAGAATTATCTGTTTCTAATGTTTATGGTCCTAAAATTAATGTTTGAAGTGTAAGTAGTTGTCTTATTTCAGCTTTCTATTTATTTTTCAGAAACTGTCAGCCATCCCAGTTTCAGCATTCTGTAATGCAGATACCAAATTACAGTTTGAGAAGTTTGTGCGATTTTGCTTCATTAAAGTAAGTTTCCTGTTCTACTCAAAAACACATTTATAATATCCTTCCTTCTGATTTATAAAACACCATTTTTTTTCTATTGCTAGACATGATGTGCTCATAGGCAGTTTTTAAATTTTGGCTTGCTGCCATGAAATAAACTGCCTATCAGAACAAAACTCAACACTCTTTGAGGTATTGAGTTTACTGGATTGCAACATAATCAGACTTCTTACCATGTAACATTACAATGTCCAGCCTGCAATCAAAAATTACTAAACATCTGAAGACCCAACAAAATGTGACCCTTACTAAAAAAAAAAGCAGTCAACAGAAGCAGATCTCAAGGTGACCCAGATAAGAAAAATTCTGTAATTCTATAAGAATTAGCAGACAAGGACTTTAAAGCAGATATTATAAGTGTGTTCAAGAAATTAAAGGAGAGTATGGTCCTAATGAGTGAACAGATTAAAACTAAAAAAAGAATCAAGTGGAAATTCAAGAACTTAAAAGTGTCATATCTGATATGAAAAATGTATGGGGCTTAACACACAGAGGATTGAAGATGTCAGAAAAAAAGGGCCCACTTGAATACAGATCTATAGAAATTATCCAATCTGAAAAACAGAAGAAAATATTATTTTTGAAAAATGAATAGAGCCTCAGATCTATGAGGCAATATTAAGTGATAACATACATATAATTGGAGTACCAAAACAAGAAGAATGTGGCAGAAAAAGTATTTTGAGAAATAATGGCCAAAATTTCCCCATAGTTGGTAAAAAGCAACTTAGAAATCTAAAAGTTCAGTGAACCACACAGGATATAAAGAAACCACACCTAGACACATTATAATCAAACTGCTGAAAACCGAAGGTAATAGGATCTTGAAAGCAGCCAGAGAAAAACTATACCTCACATGCATGGGAGCAAAGGTATGAATGTTAGCCAACTTCTTATCGGAAACAGTGGACACCAGAATACCTGAAATGACATCTTCAAAATACTGAAATAAAAAATATATCAGCCTAGAATTCTATATCCAGGAAAATATCCTTTAAAACTGAAAATGAAATATACATCCCTGATAAATGAGAAAATTCATCACTATCAGATCTGTACTAAAAAATACTGAATGTATTATTGCTGTTTTTAAGATGTCATTGCTACTGAAAACAGTCTTACTGAGATCAAAGCACTCTATACCAACACATTCATCTATAGACCTAGAGAGAATGATGTAAACCTTGTTTTAAACTTTTAGAGACAACCTATAGATAAAGGATGGAACACTTATCCAGAATAGAATATAGATGTTAACCTAGCAATGTCAACATTTAATTGACTGAAATGTAGAAGAAAGAGTAAGGCCATTAATATTCTCATCTTACAGTGGATCTAGAAATAGAGGTATAGGTGTATTATTTGACATAATAAACAGAACTAATAGAAGAAACAAGTAACGTAAGACTTCCAGTTTTAAAATGGTAAAACAGCCCTTCCCCATTCTCTTCTTAGAAATTATTAAAAAACGACTAGGAGAATGAAGAACAAATTCACAAATTCCCCAGTAGATGAAGAAGAGCTGCCAAATACAGTGAAGGTAATGGTAGAGGGAAGACACCTAGAAAGGCTCCTGCTTCTGCATCTTCACGTTATAGAGAGAGCCAGGAGGTAGCCTACTCTTTCTCCACAACAATAGGAACAGTAAGTGCACTGGCAGTGCGAGCTTCTCCAGACCCATCTGGCATCATGGGAGAGGCAGAGTAGAAACATACAGTCATGTTATCTGAAATCTATGTGAGGCAGGGTAGAGAGGAGATTCTGGTTCGGCTATAGATTTGCTCATTCACCTCTGTCATTTTTGCTAAAAGCTGTCTTGAGGCAATGTGGAGAAGAAATATTACATTGGAGGTAGCCAATTAAATTAGTTGGGCAGAAATAAAGTCTAAAAGAACTCCCCCTCACTGAACTCTACATCAATCATATTAAACTTTACTGTGAACCAGGGAGAATTTCTGCTCTCTTGTGCTGCCCTGGCTCCTCCCTTACACAAACCTGCAAATACATCTTCAAATCATAGACAAAGCCAGCAGGTAGCATACTCATTACCCAGAACAATGGGAAAAGTAGGTGCACTGTCAGTGGCAGCTTATAAAGAGGATTCAATCAAAAATGAGTCATAAAAAGAAATCAGCTATGAATATAGAAAAAGATACTATAAGGAAAGAAGCAGAAAGGTACAAGGAAAAACAAATGTCCGAAAATATTCAACCAGAAAAATGTCTCCATAGAGCAAATAAAAATTAAGATATTTCAAATTCAGAACTTTTAAAATGAGATTAAAGCAGAGGTTTTAAAAGTTCAGGGAAGATAGAGTAAGATAATATAAAAAGATGAAATGGCAGCTGTCAGAGCTCAGGTAAGAAATTGAGGGGAAAAACTAAAGATACTGGTAATTGTAGTGACGTTGGAAACAGCACACAGAACGCTAAATACCTCTGTAAACACATTAAGGATTGAGAAAAGTGAGCAAAAAAAGTGGAAAGGGACAAATAATTTTAAAATACTAAAGAGAAAAATTATAGATGTATAGGACAAATGAAATATGTAGAGTCCCCGGGAAAAAAGCAGAACAAATGGAACCAGGAAAGAATTTTACAACTTTGTTTTGACAATGCTTTCCATTGAAAAAAAACAAACAGATCTAAAAATTGAAAGGGAATGCCTTGTATGAGGAACAATTGTCACAGAATAATTAACACTGAGCTGTACTTTGTTTACTATATTGGACTTTAAAGATAAAGAAATGACCCTTTGGCATCTAGACAAAAAGATCCAGGCCTCCAGGGGGCAGGAGAGGAGGATCAGCGTGAACTCACCTCCTTTACGTCAGCATTCGCTGTTGGAAGATAGTGGAGCAATACTAAGAAATCCCCGGGGAAAGGCGGCACACCTAACTCAACGTCTTGGAAAGGGTAAAAATTAAAGGAGGGCAAAACATGCCAAGAAAATGGAAATTGAAAGAAAGTAGGTTGAATTTAGGGCAAAATAAGCCAAAAAGCAGCACTTGACAATGGTTATGGGTAGAATACTCAGTAGCTGTCAACTATATGAAAGAATGCTCCACCTCACTCGTAATAAGAGAAATGAAAGTTAAAACTGCAATGAAATTTTATATTATCTATTAGATTGGAAACCACCAAAGCAGCTGAAAAGTTCTGTCAGACATTCTCATAGATCGAGAGTGGAAGTAGAATTTGTAAAATCTCTACAGTGGTTAGTTTGAAAATTTCCATCCAAATGTAAATGCACGTACCGTTAGACCCAGCAAATCTACTTCTAGGATTTTTGTCTGTGGGTTTACTTGCACATTTTGAATGACTTGTGTTCAAGGATTTTCAGGGAAGCATTGTTTATAATGTCAAAAGATTATAAAGAAGCAAAATATTCACCAGTGAGGGCTGCTTGAATAAATTATGGCACATTCACATCAATAAAAGAATGAAGCAGGGGCTAACCCGGTGGCGTAGCGGTTAAGTTGGCTTGCTCCACTTCGGTGGCCCGGGGTGGGCAGGTTCGGATCCTGGGCACAGACCTACGCACTCATCAAGCCATGCTGTGGTGGCGTCCCATATAAAGTAGAGGAAAATGGGCACGGATGTTAGCCCAGGGCTAGTCTTCTTCAGCAAAAAGAGAAGGATTGGCAACAGATGTTAGCTCAGGGCTAATCTTCCTCAAAAAAAAAAAAAGAATAAAGCAGCTCTCCATGTAGTAATAGAGCATAAGCTTGAAGCAAGGAGCAGAACAGTTTCTATGGATGCTGTCATTTGTATAAGAAGGAAAAGGAAGGAAGGGAGCGAGGGAGGAAGATAGATGCTCTTTAATGCCTAGACTGTCTCTGCAAAGATACGTGATAAAATCCCAGTGTTGCCTCAGGAGGACAGAGTGGCTGAGCAAGATCGGTGGGAGGCTGGCTTACTTTAAAACAATATTTTGAAATTCTCTCAATATATAAGTTGCAAGAACATTTTTTCTGAACCATTTTAGAGTAAGTTGGTGACTTAATTACTGATGATGCTTCTATCACCCCCAAATGCTTTATTGTATATTCCCCATAAACGACATTCTCCTACAAAACCACAATGTAACCATCAACTCATGAAGTTAACATTGCTGTATCATTCTGTCTAATCCTCAGATCTCATCCAATTCAAGTTTCACTAACTGTCCCAATAATGTCCTTTTTATTCTGGCATTCCAGGCCAGAATCATGCATTGCATTTAGTTGTCATGTCTCCTTCAAGCTGGAATGGTTCCTCAGTTTTCTTTGACTTTTATCACCTTGATACTTTTGAAAATTATTGGCCAATTTTTTTGAAGAAAGTCCCTCAACGTTCATTTGACGTTTCCTCATATTACATTCAGGTTATGTGCCTTTGGCAGGAAACCACAGAAGTCATACTCTTTTCGTTTTGTTGCATTCTATCAGGTGGCACTTGATTTTAGTTTTTCCTATTACTGGTGGTGTTAACTTTAATCCCTTGATTAAGGTGGTGTCTGCCAGGCTTCTCTACTGTAAATTTACATTTTTCCCTTGATAAATAATGAATATTTTGCAGTGAGGTACTTTGAAACTATGAAAATATTCCGTATCTCACTAAGCAATTTATTCATTTAGCTATTTATTCATATATGTAAGGATTCATGGATTCCTGTTTTATTCAGTGGGTTATAATGTATTATTATTATTACTTATTTTGATGCTCAAATTTTCCCATTAGGGGCCCCTTTAAGCTGGCCTCTGTTTCCTTTGCTGTGTCCCATCATTTTTGAGCATTTCCTTACTTACTGGCAAAGCAGGAGGCACCAGGTTCATCTTGTCAGTATCTACCCTGGTCTGGAGTCACCTTTTAGTGGAGAATGGTATTTAGAAACCAAGATCTGGGCATTAGGAGTGCTCATTGCTATTGGGATAATGGTGCTCCCAGGCCCTCCCAATGGACAGAGATAGGGAATATATGAATGTCTGTACATGCCTACACACACATTTATTCATAAATACACATATTTACATCTGCACTTATTTCTATGTCTATCTAAATATATTGAAACCACCACAGGGTTTATTCTAGCTTTTTCCCTTTCTGTATTTGTAATTCCCTTCTTTGACAGTGAAAAACCTGCCTGTCATCATGTAATCACTTCTTTAATTGGTACCTCTGTATGTGACCAGTCTCCTATCAGTGCCACTGCCCCTCCATCCACCACCCGTAATGGTCACCCTTTGCCCCACTCAGGCTTTGACACTTTGTACCAGGCTGCTGCTGCTGTCACCCTCCTGCAGAGCTGCCCTCCTCTGACTCTCCAACACTGCACACCAAGCCACCACTGTCACCCGCTGTATAGAAGCCCTCACCCGTCATGGGCTCTGACACCCCATGCCAGTCTGCCTTGGCAGATGCCTGCCTCATCCCATTCAGGCTCCAACACCCTGCCATACAGATGGCTTGCTTACCCCATTTGAACTTTGACATTCTGTTTCTGGTCAGCCCTGCCCCTGCCATCACCACCACCTCATGCCACCCACATTGGAAACCCTCCTCACTCCACTCTGGCTGTGACGTCCTGCACCAGGCTGCCAAGGACCCGCCTGCCCCCATACGTGGACACCTACTTCACTCAGCCCCACCCAGTGGTTTTTGAACTAAATGATTCTGTAAAGAAGAAAGAGAAAGCAAAGGAGGAAGAACAGGAGGCTTGATTTTCACCATTAACCCACCAATTTAATTGTATACCATATGCAGGTATTACCTGTTCAAAACATAAATGAATTTTTTCAGTAATTATAACTATGAAACTTTGATAGGAGGGAGCAGAGTAGTCTGAATGAATGAATTTTTCCTCATTCAGAGCAGAGAATGGTGAAGATTGTCTCAAGTTGATAAGTAAGGAAATAGAAACATATGCATTATTTAGATTTTGGTGGTAACCACTAGAACTAAAACCAGAAATTGCCGTAAAAGGTTGTCTTGGGGATGGCAGGTGTAGTAAGAAGGGTGAGGAGGGGAGGAGCAGATGGTTATTTTTCAGTGTAAGCTCTTCTGTACTCTTTGACTTGTTTTTGCACTTACAGTAGTCTGCCTTATCCGCAGTTTCACTTTCTGTGGTTTCAGTTACCCACCATCAACCTCGGTCCCAAAATATTAAATGAAAAGTTCTAGAAATAAACAATTTTTAAGTTTTAAATTGTGTGCTGTTCTGGGCCGGCCCGTGGCTTAGCGGTTAAATGTGTGGGCTCCGCTGCTGGCGGCCCTGGTTCAGATCCTGGGCGTGCACCAACGCACCACTTGTCCAGCCATGCTGAGGCCGCGTCCCACATACAGCAAGTAGAAGGATGTGCAGCTATGACATACAACTATCTACTGGGGCTTTGGGGGGAAAAAAAATTGTGTGCTGTTCTGAGTAGTGTGATGAAATCTCACACCACCCCCCTCCGTCGTTCCCGGAGAGACAAATCATCCCTTTGTCCAGTGTATCCATGCTGTATACGCTACCCAGCTGATAGTCACTTAGTCATCGTCTGGGTTATTAGATTAACTGTGGTGGTATTGCGATGCTTGTGGTTAAGTAACCCTTATTTTACTTAATAATGGCCCCAAAGCCAACTTTGTTAATCTCTTACTGTGCCTAATTTATAAATTAAACTTCATCATATGTATGTATGTATAGGAAAAAACATATTATATATGGGATTCAGTCCTATCCACGGTTTCAATCATCCACTGCGGGTCTGGGAAGGTATCCCCCACAGATAAGGGAGGACTACTGTGTATATTAATGTGATTGTGTTCCTTTTGGAAGTCTGCCTTTGCATTTTTACTTTGAAAAATTCTCTTCACTTGAGATCAGATATTTACTTAAATCTTCATTTAGTTATGTTTTATTTTTTTTCTACTTTACCAAAATCTATCTTTATTAAAGTGAACAGATTGTTCGAGTACTATCCAAAACTTAATGAATGATGGCTGTAATTTGCTCAACTTGCCTATTTTCAATTAGGCAAATGCTGCCTAATAGGACCATTCACCATAGTTGTGTGTCAGAAAGAATCATTTCCATATTTATAAATGTTATTTTAGCAGAAGACAGGTGTTACAGATTTCAGTGCTTTTAGTGAACTGGTATTTTCAGTAAACTTTTTCTGAGCAGCAAAGAATAAGAATTCTTTTCAGAAATCTTAGAATTGGATATAAACATTGGCAGTAGACACAGTCAATAAATATCATACAGTTTCTCAAATAAAAAAGATTTCCCCAATACGAATTCCTTTCCTAAAGACATTCAAACAGCCTGACACAAGATTGAGTCTCAATCCTACAGTGTCACAAGATTATAGCTGGCCCACTTGAGTGTGTCAGGTCACGTGCAAAAGGGGGTGAGGTGAGAGTCAAGAAAGCAAAGTGAATCACTTTTAATTTATACTGAGGGAGAACTTCAAGTAAGGGGACCTCACTGCCTAGAGATCTTTCTACCCGCACCTCTCTTGTCTGAAAGCCTTGGTGGTTAGCAGCGACCACAGTAGCTGTGAACCATTAAAACACAGGGTTTATTCCTCCATTCCTGCTCCAGCTGGCATCCTCTGTGTGTGTTGGGAGCTAAGGGAGGGGTTTTCTTTTGTTGTCTAGAAGCGTCTTTGAAGAAAGTCTGTGATTTTGCACACTTCGTACCCAAATGGATGAGAATAATAAATATCGATCCCATCAGCACATCCTTCAGACTCTCTGCTCGCGTCAGTGACACTCTCGAGTGTGGGTCTTCTTTGGCACTGAGGACTGCTTGGGCTGCCACAAGTGGTTATGAATAATGAGAGCGTCCACGCTGATGGACATGGTTTTTGCTGGGATCAGGTTAACCATTTTCAGTTTGAGCTGTAATTTATACAGTTTGTCAGTCATTTTCTTGGTGATGCTCTTTGGCCCCCTGCCCATTAATCTGTACATTTCTTCAGTGTCAGGATAGTAGATAGTAGCAGTAAAGTGCCGTGAACTGGCAGCCAGCATCACAAAACAGTATGATGTACTGATTGGCATCGCACTTCTCTAGCTCCTCTAATATTGAATTCTTTTGAAGTTCATTCACTTTTCCAGCCAGACAGCAATGGGGTATATCATTATAAATAATTGGCTAGATTGATTTGCTACTGGGCTCCTTAAAGAGCTTGAGACCTGTGTACTAGACCATCGAGGTGAGGGAAGATGCTGCGAACACCGTTTCCCAGTCTCTGTCTATACCCCTGCTGAGGTTGCAGCTTAATATAATCAAGGTGACTCGAGTCACTGGGAAGCCATGCCCCTCGAATCCATGCTCTTGGGCTCTGTCGTAACTGCAGAGGCCAGGGACAAGCTGGCGCCCAACCGGGCCTGGGGTCAAGTTATCAAGGGTTGGGGAGCACTTGGTTCCCAAATCACTACACCGCTCTTCCCGATGGACTGACTTTGGTATATTTTTGGTATTTAAATTGTTACTTCATCTTGAATTTATTTTGAAATGTAATGATGATTATTTCATTTATTTACAGAAAGACAGTACACTGGATGCTGCTGAAGAAATTATCAAGGCATGGACTGGACAGAAGTCTGGATAGGAGGAGACTTGTTGCTTTTAGATGACCTATTAGTATGGAATTGTTATTTAGTGCTGCCACCTGCTGGATAGTGAAAAACAAATGTTTCTGTACAAATGAAATTTAAAGAAATATTTCCATTATTTTTCCAAAGAAGTTAACCCCACTCCTAACAATATTCAGGAGATCTTGTGTTTGGTTGTTTCAGTTGAAATGTATTAAAACACCTTCCACTATTATTTTATGAGAGGTAATGTAGCATTGTGGATAAGAACTGTGAGATGATGCTTAACTTCTCTGTGCTTTAGTTTCCTTATCATAAAAGGCGAATAAAAAATAGCCCCTACTTTATATGAAGTTTGTGAGTTGTTGTTTGTGAGGACTGATGTGTGTAAAGCCTCGCAAACAGTAAACACTCAAATAATGTCAGCCAGTCTCACTTCTCAGCCATCGTGTAGAACCCTTAGCCAGTTACAGGCCGCTCCACTCTGTGTATTTGTCTACCCACCTGCAGTTCCCTCCCCTGCATTTACCAATGGCTTTGAATTTTGCCCACAGTTTTCCCTTTCTGTCCCCAGTACTGCCATCATCTGGGGTGGCTTCAAGCTCCACTTAGATCACCTGGGCTTTCAGTACTTTGATCTCCTCACCTCTGGTGATATTCACCTCCACTCCACTCTCCACTTCAGCCGCCCACTCCCTTGGGCACACCCTGAACCTTTCATCATTCAAGGCTGTTCCATCGTTGAGATAAATTAGTCATCTCACACTGTAACCACCTATCCTTACAGTATTCTCTGTCTCAGCTCCTCTCAAAATATCACTTCTTTAAACTCACTATGATTTCAAATCCACTATTTCTCAAAAAAATGGTCCATGGCCATCTTACATCAGAATCACCCAGATCCTTGTTGAAAATAGATTCTAGTCTTCACCCCAGACCCACTGGATAGTAATTGCAGGGTCTGGCCCTTCCCAGGTGGTTCTTATACCCACTAAATTTGATAATCACTGCAGTAGTTCATAGAACCCTCTATTTTATTCCTATTGGTCCCCTTGTATCTTCACTCCCTTCCTCATCCAGCTTAGATTTAATCATCCATCACTTCAGCCAAGATACTTTTGCTGCCTTGAATAACTTGCCCATTGTTCTATCACCTACCTGGTCAAAAAAAAGAACTCAACGCTGGGGTTGAAGCTCTATGCTTGCACCTGGGCTGCTGAGCACTGCTGTAGCAAAATGCATGATTAGCCGCTTCTAACATGAATGCACATCGTAGACCTGAACTCACATTAATTCCTCTTTGATATCCTAATGCGCTTTCCCTACCTTTTACCACAGCAGCAATTCCTAATATTCTCTCATTCTCTACAATAAAAATATCCAACCTTCTCCGTTCTCCTCATACCTCAAAGCCCACCACCGCCACTCAATTAATTCATAGCAAATGACCTCATCTCCTGCTTCTGTGAAAAAGAAAACAAAATGAAAAAACAATCTAGCAGACCAGCTCTCCCAACTGGGGTCCTACCAATAAGCCCATGACTTATCTGCATCATCCTCCATCCTTTCTTCACTTCCTCCTGGGAGTGGGGGCAGAGTGGGGAGGATTGGTGGGCAGACAGAACCAGGCCCAGGCATGCAGAAGGAGGCCCAGGACTTCAGGAGCCAACTATTGCATAAGATTTTTAGCTTGTCCACTCTTGCTGGGGACTTGATAAAATTTTCACCAGGGTTTAGGTCTGCTTTTTGCAGCCCTAGACTTGCCCAATGCTAATCCTACCACCTGTGCTCTAGATCCCATTTCTTCTCTCATTCTCAGGGGCTTGGTTCAGTCCATTGTCTTGTATCTTTAGCCTCTACTGGCTCCCTTCCTCAGTGAGACATGTTCAAATTTCTCCCATCTTAGGAAAATCCTTTCCCTGATCCTATCTGCTACCCTATTATCTCTTCCTCTTCAGGGCAAAGTTTCTTCTTTCCATCTTTTCTCCTTCCCTCCCTGCTTCCTTTGTTCCTTCATTCTTTCCTTTAACAAATATTCATTGAAGTCCTACTATGTGCCAGACACTATTCTAGGCACTTAGGACATATCAGTGAACAAATAAACAAAGATCCCTACCTTCCAGGGCCTTCCTTCTGACCAGGGCAGAGAGACGAACCCATAAACATAATGAAATGTATGTTAAACTTATGTGTGGTAATTGAAGGAAAGAAGAGCAGCACAGACAGGAATGAGAGCGTTAGGGAGCAGATTGAAATTTTAAACACTTGGCCAGGGTAGGTCTCATGGAGGGGACGCAGAAGCAGACTTAGAGGAGGGGAGTGAGAAAGCTTGTGAAGATTTCGGGGAGGAACGTTCCAGGGAGAAGGAACAGCCAGTGCAAAGGCTCTATGACAGGAGAGTGCGTGGTATGTTTGATAATACCAAGAGTCTGTTATGGCTGGATGGAATAACCAAGGGACAGAGTAGTAGGTATTAAATCAGAGAAGTAACATAGGACCTCAAGGACTAGTGTAAGGGTAATGGTTTAATCCAGAGAATCAAAGTGCCACACTCCATCCATACTTTTTTTTAATATGTAAAATAGTATTTATTGCAGCATTGTTTATAATTATTTCAAACCAGGAACAACCAAAATGCCCATCAACAGTCTAATATTTGGGGGGTATATTAATACAATAGAATAGCATATAGCAATGAAAATTGACAAACTACAGCTACACACAGTAACATGAATGAATTTCATCAACACTGTTTTCCTAGGGTTTCCTCACAGTGTCTTCAAAGAATAATCTGGAATTCTCAGTCAACAGAGTGTTCTATACTACTAGAATCTGGTACTGTGATCGTTGAAGCCTTACTTGCCAGCCCCAACCTTGGGGCTCCTAGAATTTCTGTGCCCACTGGAGTGAGGGCTTCTATGTTTTGGTCCAACAGTCAGGCCTAGGACTGGTCCCTAGTGAACTCCATTTCTGGGTGATCCAAGGGACAGAGGTTACCATCCTTTCCATTTGGCTGGGACAAGGAGAGCCGACTTGGGGAGGAGGAAGGCATGGATTTTAAATATGGGGTATGGGTGAATAGTGCAATATTGGACCAAGGAAAATTTTAAAGTCCAGCTTAAACTCCCGGGGACGTTAGAGGCCAAGGTCAGACCTGAGGCTTCCAGACGCCTAACTAGATATCCAGGCCTAACTGTGGTTAGAGACAGTGTAATTTCTGCAACGGGAAACCCAAAGGGGTTGGACAGAGGCATCTGCAAGAAGCTAAGACTCACAGAACAATAGCATCAGTATCAGCTCTGGCTGATATGCCCCACTCACACCTCGCCCCATTACTACTGCTGCTGCTAAAAGTATTTGGCCCCTCAATTTTTAAATCACACCTGCCTTTGTACTCATCTAGGCTGGAGTTTCCAGCATCTTCCTCCCTCATTGAAGATTGGGTACTTGGTCTTCCCAAACAGAGACTTCAACTTTTTTTTCCTCTTTGCTGCTGTTGAGAGTACATTCCTCGCATTCTTCTTGAGGGGACCCCAGATTCTTGAGGTTCTTGCATCTTTTCAAAGGATCATTCTGGCTGCTGTGTTGAGAATAGACTGTAGGGGCAGCAAAGGTCGAGGTATGGAGACCCATTACAATAATTCAGGTAAAAGATCACGGTGGAGGCAGTGGAAGGTAAGAAATGGTCAGATTCTGGATATATTTTGAAGGTAGAGCCAACAGGATTTGTTAAGAGAGTTTATAAGGGACATGAGAGAAAGCGAAGAATCAAGAACGAGTCTAGTTTCTGGCCTGAGCAACTGGAAGGATTAAGTGCCATCACTGAGGTTGAGAAGGCTCCAGAAGGAGCAGGGTTGAGGAAGATCAGATGGTCAGTTTTGAACACGTTATGTTTGAGATATCCATTCAACTTTCAGGTGGAGGTGTAGGGTAGGCAGCTGGTGAGTCGAGTATGGCGTTTAGGGAAGAGACTGGATATATATACATTTGAGAGTCTGTAGCATATTGATGATATTTAAAGACATGAGACCAGACAGATTCACCAAATATGTCAGTAACAGCAACAAGAAGAGGGCTGATGACTTAGCTCTGGATTTTTGAGAAATTTTACTAGAAATCGGAATAACTCTTGAAAGAGTTTTCTCATTTGGTGACTCCACTTTCACACACACACACACACACACACACACACACACACCTTGCTTACCCTCAACCCTCTGCAATGTGGATTCCACACCCAATATTGTTCTAAGTTCTACAGTGACCTCCATATTCCTAGATTTAAAGGAAACTTCTCAGTGCCATCTGACACTACCTCTTATTTACCTCTGCAGACCACTCTGGCCTTCTTAAACCCTTTCCTTTCTTGTTCCTGTGACGCTGCACATCCGTGAATTGCCTCCCACCTCTCTGGCTGCTCCTTCTCGGTCTCCTTTGCCTGTTCCTTAAATGTTGGAATTTTGTCTTTCTCACTTAATAACTTCATTTACTCTCAATATGCTAGTGACTCCCAAATCTGTATCTCCAGCCAAGTCTTTTCTGTTGCATTTGAGGCCCATATATCCAACACCTCATTTGTCATCTCACATGCACGTTTCACAGGCAAACCCCATCCACTCTGGTCTCCTCACCTCAATGAATGACGCCACCAACCCAGGTGCTCAAGTCAGAGAATTTAGAAGTCATTCTTGACTTTTCTCCCCACACCCAAGTACTCTATATATTATCCTAAATGTCTCTTAAATCCATCTCTTCTCTCTGCCCCAATTGCGACCACTCTGGAAGGGGCCAATGTTATCCCCCAACTAGATTACTAGTCAACTCCTGACAGTTCTCCCTGACTTGCTCCTGTAGACCAAATGAGCTTTATAAAATGCAAATGTGATCATGTTGCACATATTAGTTAAGAATATTCATGTTGCAAGCTACAGAAAGCCTAACCCATATTGATTTAAATCAAACAAAAGGGAATTTTCTGACTCTGCTGAACATTTGAGGAGTAGTCTAGTTTCAGTTAAAGCTTGAAGCCAGGACTCAGATTATAATCTGTTACCAAGCTCCATCTCGCAGTTCTGTCCTCTCTGTGCCAGCTTTGTCTTCAGGTTGCCATGTCCTGTGATAGCAACATGGCTGCAGCAGTTTCTATCATATGGTCACACTAGCAAACCCAGCAGAAGAGGACACTTTCTCTCTCCGAAGCCCCAGCAAATGGTATATTGTGTTGTATCAGCCCATCCCTGAGCTACCTGCTGTGGCCAAGGGGATTGGACATGCTAAACAATTTAGGCCAATCCAAGGTCAACTCCCAGAGGGCCAGAATGAACAAGGGAGGAAACGGATAAGCAAACATCATAAGTAACTTAAAACCCTTTAATTGCTCTCCATTGCTCTTCACGTAGAGGCTACTCTCCTCAT